GTTTCCTTCTCTGAGAAATCTAACAACCCAGCAAAAATGGTCCAACTGTATTGCCCTGCCCTGACGGCCAAGGCTGGTAAAACCACAGCTCAGCGTTGGGACATGCATTCCACTGCTTACTGTGGTCCTACCTTTAAAGGGAGCCACATATGACTGTTAAAAATAGACAGTCTAACCAAAGCCACTTAGGGAGAACACAAATAAGGGTGGCTGATGCTGTGAGGTGTGAGTGACTCCTTGCAGAGCTGGTGGGTGCCACCACGTGGTCTTGGCCTACAGCGACTGCTGGCTTGATGAGCTAAGAGCAGACATCATAAATATTGTTGAGGACTAGAGACCTGTGTTTGAAATTGGACCCCTTATGAATGTTAAGGTAAGGATTACATGGGAGGAAGGTTTTCTGTTTTTGTTTTCACAAATACTTACTGAGCCTGTTGGGTAAAAAGCTGTGGTCTGGGCCAGCATTGTGGCTTAGAAATTTAACCCTCCTTGTGAGACGCCTGCATCTCATATTGGCACTGATTTGAGTCTGGCTGCTCCACTTCCAATACAGTTCCTGGCTAATGTGCTTGGGAAAGCCGTGGAAGATGGTCCACGTGCTTGGAGCCCTGCACCCATGTGTGAGACCCGGAAGAAGCTTCAAGTGCCTGGCTTTGCCCTGGCCCAGCCCTGGGTGTTGCAGCTGTTTGTGAAGTAAACCAGCAGATGGAAGATTCTCTCTGTCCCTCTCTGTCTCTCTGTTTCTTTCTCTCTCTCTCTCTCTAACTCAAATAAATAAAAAACAAGTCTTAAAAAAAAGCAAAGTTGTGGTCTGGACTTGAGGGTTACAGAAGTTAAACTAAAGCATCAGACTTAAGGCTTTTTAAATTTTTAATTTATTGAGAAGTAGGTTCAGAGAGAGAGAGAGAGAGTGAGTGAGCGCACATGCCTGGTGGGAGCCAGGAATTCAATCTACATCTCTCATGTGGGTAGCTGGAACCCAGTGATGTGTGCCTCCCAGGATCTGCTTTAGCTTACTGGAGTCAGCAGCTGAATATCAAACCCAGATACTATGATGTGGAATCTGGGATTTACCTGCTAAATGTGGGCCCCAGCTTGAACTTTTTTTTTTTTTTTTTTTTGACTGGCAGAGTTAGACAGAGAATGACAGAGAGAGTATAGACAGTGAGAGAGAGACAGAGAGAAAGGTCTTCCTTCCATTGGCTCACTCCCCTAATGGCTGTTACGGCCGGTGGAAGCCGGGAGCAAGGTGCTTCCTCCTGGTCTTCCATGTGGGTGCAGGGCCCAAGCACTTGGGCCATCCTCCACTGCACTCCCAGGCCACAGCAGAGAGCTGGACTGGAAGAGGAGCAACCGAGACTAGTACCTGGTGCCCCAACTGGGACTAGAACCTGGGGTGCCGGCGCCACAGGTGGAGGATTAGCCAAATGAGCCACCGTGCCAGCCTAAACTTTAAACCAAGAGCTATACCTTTTTGCCACCAAGTCTTCACCAAAGAACAGGTTGCTCACTGATTCACCCTTACTCATTGACATCAGGGTAGAGATTTTAAGCTTTTATGTCATGAGAGTTTGAGAGCCTGGTTTGAGAATGCCTAAGAACTCCACCTGGGCTAAGGTGGTTCTGCTATTAAGCAGAAGCCATTTGGACCTAGTGCTGACTTATGGCTTCTGGAGGCTTGAGGCTGCCCTTGTTCTGTGTGCCAGGCTGGAGGCTCTCTGTGTCTCGGCCTCCACTCTGTTTTCTCCGCACACCCGGAATCATGCTTACCGGCCTTCTCAGTCAGGCTTGGGGGAGAGGTGAAAACAAGCGTCAAATTGCACCCTTGCAAAAGGGGAATAGGAAGAATTGAGAAGCATTTATTACTGTGTCCCAGACACAGTCTAGGTGGCTTAGGGTTTATCAATAAGCAGAAGAATTTACTGTCCTGCCGTAATTTCAGTGGGTTAGCAGCCGCCATGCATTCTCACTCCCCTCCTGGCAGCCATGCACGTGAGTGAGAACCTGCTCTGAAATGTGAAAGAAGTACATCTGTCTCAGCGTTTTAGCCTAGAATGGAGACATGTCTAGTTGTGACCCCAAAGAGCACTCTACCACCAGGGACAAACTGTGGAGAACATTCCAGGGGAGTCCTATGGCACCAGCATCCCAGATGCGTGCCAGTTTGAGTACTGGCTGCTCCACATCCAATCCAGCTCCATGGTGGTGGCCTGGGAAAGCAGTGGAGGATGGCTCAAGTCCTTGGGCCCCTACACCCATGTGGGAGAACCAGAGGAAGTTTCCGGCTTCAGATTTGCCCAGCTCCAGCCATTGAGACCATTTGGGGAGTGAACCAGTGGATGGAGAACCTCTCTTTCTCTCCCTCTTTCTGTAACTCTGCCTCTCAAATAAAAAAAAAATAGGTCAGTTATATTCAGATTTCTTACAGGGGAACTATTTGGACCTGAATACTCACTGTTGAAAAGAGATATCAACAAAGGGGATTTGACATGCCTGTCATATCAGTTTCCTGTGAGTTGTGTGGAGTGGTGATCCATTTTATTGGGGAACATCCTTTCCCAATATTGCCTGAGTCAGTGAGCTAACCATTGATGAGACCAAATGAAGTCCTGGGTGAGCATCTTGCAGTGCAGGCTTCCCTCAGTGTCTTGCCTTTTCCCCTGCTGATGTAGATCCTGCCTCTGTGTCTGAAGAAGTGACTTAGGGAATGTTTTGACTGTGGACCTCCCTGAGAAACACATTTAACCTCTTGACTGAGGGTGTACGTGCTCACGCAGGAAATGGTTATGAAAAATGCTCTGTTCAGAATGCTCTGAACATTTGTCTTGCTGGGCATGACCCACTTGCTGAATAGTTTCAAGAGCTCCTCAGTGGTTTCTTTACACGGTTTGATAAACATGAATCTGAAGTATTTGTATTCAAAATGAGATTTGATGACTTGCATCAGCTTGGTAGAAGTGCAAGTTACTGCCCCTCCCCCAACTTCTGCCAGCCAGGCTGCAGGTGGAATATAGGAATTGGGTTTAGTCCACATACTTCTGATGTCTTGGGAAGTTTGAGAAGCACAGTCCTCCTTTTCTTTTATACAGCCTTTGTGATTCCCTCTATTGATTTGCACGAGAAACTTTATTGTGAATTTATTTTAAAAATAGTGAAAATAAATCTATTATGTTGTTGACATAAGAGCAATGATGTTGTCACATACCATGTGTCTTTTGGGTCTGCAGTACACTCCTGAGAAAGAGTTTAAAAAGCGAGTAAGTCTCAGTATTGTTGTGAAAATCATTTTGACCTTGGAGACCCCTTAGAGGGCTCCTGGGGACTCCTGGTTGTCTGTGGACCCCACTTTGATAACTTCTTCCAGCCTGTGTCTTTTAAGGACACCAAATTTCTGTAGTACTTCTTGTGCAGAGTAATTAATTATGGAATCATACACAGGTTTTCACCACTGCTTGAGTGCCAGGGGAGAATCAGGAACTGTCACTGAATTCCCAGAGCCGTTTGCCAGACCCTGCGTTTATATTTTTGTTTTATAGCTCCTCAGCTTGTCTGCAACAAAGATGGATTAGTTGGGCTTTCCCTACCCTTTGGTTTCATCAAGAACCTCCCAATAGGAAGGCATGTTGCTAATCTTGGAAGTGTTTATATTTTCATTTTGGATATTTTACTGTAATTTCTTTTTTGAGTAAAAAGGGGTGTTCAAGGGGCCAGTGTAGCGGTTGTAGCTGGTAAAGCTACTGCCTGCAACACCAGCATCCCATATGGGCACTGGTTCAAGTCCCGGTTGCTCCAATTCTGATACAACTCACTGCTCATGTGCCTGGGAAAGCAGTGGAATATGGCCCAAGTGCTTGGACCCCTACATCCATGTGGGAGACCTGACAGAAGCTCCTGGCTCCTAGCTGTGATCTGGCTGAGCCCTGGTCATTGCAGCTGTTTGGGGAGTGAACCAGCAGATAGAAGATCTGTCTCTGTCTCTCCCTCTACTGTAAATAGATAAGTAATTCTCTTTAAAAAAAAATGAGAGTGTTCAACTTCATTTCTTTCTGGTATTTTTAGGTAACTACATGACTTTTTCTGTTTTGAATTTTAGAAAGAATATTTTCATACTAATGATCCAATACTCAGATTGGTCATACTGTACCATTTAGTACTATATACTGTGCGTATGTTACTGTTATGTTAGAAATGTTAGAAATTGCACTAAGATGCCAGCCTCGTGGCACAGCAGGTTAAGCTGCTGCTTCTGGCACCATTGTCCAATGTTGGATTGCCTGTGTGAGTCATGACTTCTCTGCTTCCAGTCCAGCTCCCTACTAATTCACCCAGGAAGGCAGCAGATAATAGCCCAAATGCTTGGCTCCCTGCCACCCATGTGGGAGACATGGATGGAGCTCTGGGCTCCGGGCTTCAGCCTGGCCCGCCCTTGGCTGTTGCGAAATGAACCACCTGATGAAGATTTCTCTGTCTCTCCCTTCTATGCCACTCTGCTAGATAGATAGATAGATAGATAGATCTATGCCACTCTGCTAGATAGATAGATAGATAGATAGATCTATGCCACTCTGCTAGATAGATAGATCGATCGATCGATCGATCCAAAAAAAAAAGAAATCGTAGTGGGATTACAGAATTCTCAGGATGTGTTTACTCCTGACTTCACAAAGCTCTTGATGAGGAATTCTGAACATGGAGCAGGCTTCCCGGTGTTAAATCACACCAGATGGTTGTCCCCAAGCCTTTTCAGGTTAGATCACTGTGCCCAGGACCTTTAATATCTCCTTTGCCAAATTAGACTACAAACTTCCAATGAATAGGGTTTTTTATGTTATTGAAATAGTTTTGCTCCTCTGACCCCCTCATACCCAAGAACCTACCATGATACTAATTTGATAACAGATGCCTGACAAAGTACTTGTTTGAATGACTAGTAAGTCTGTAAGATAAACACACCTGTTGCCATTATATGAATGACTGATTGATTGATTGATTTCTCTCAGGGCACACGTTGACAGAGAATGAGAGAAAACAGTTATTGGCAATAGCGTCATCATTGTTTGTGGCATCCCAATTACGAGCACAACGTTTTCAAGAACATTCAAGGTATGGTAGATCTTTTAAAACAGAATGTAAGTAAATGAGCAGAAAAATAATGAAAATGTAATCTACGTAGGAAATAGCTAATAAAAGATCTGAGCGGTATCAGTTATAGATCTTTTCATAGACCTTTGGAGAAATATAGTAAAGTCACAGTTTAAATCTGGTATTGTGTATGTTTTGTTTAAGTTTTTAAAATTCATGAGGAATAAAGAGATCTTGTTGGACCCTTTAATTTGACCATTATTAGAGGTAAGAGGATATTCTGAAGTCTGATGGAAAATCTGTTCAGATAGGTTATATTATTTCTGTTTTATTTGAAAAATGTTTTGAGAAGTGTTGCAGTATTAAAATTTAGGAATGAATTCTCAGAAGCTAGTTTATAAGGTACAAGAAGTAATGAACACCAGGTTGGCTTAGTTATTTGTGAACCCTCAGTATACCTTCTACCTCCCGGTGACCCAGGTGGAAGGAGAAACAATCCAGAACAAGGAAAAAACAAACCTCATGAGAGACAGTGTTTGCTTATTAGGAAAGTGCATGCACTTGCTAGAGTAATCTTTATAAGGGAGTCATGCTGTTGATAAAATTACATCACTTCAATTTCTTCTCCTTTCTCTTTGCTTTCCACAAGATGAAGAACAAAGATAAGAAAGAAAAAAGGTGGAGGGTGATCAAGCAGCTGTGGAAAGCACAAATCAGAAACTCACATTATCGCTAAAGAATTACATAGAAGAGAAACAAAATTGATGTTCCTCAGTACCTTAATGGCTACTGTGATTTCACTGAGGAAATCTCACAGTAGCTGGGACCCTTCATTTGTTTGTTTTCTCAAGAAAAAACCAGCAGATTATTGTATGATCATTTTCCAGTTGTTGTTTGGTAGACACCCAGGGAGAGCTGGAGGGTACAGAAGATCAGTCGATGACTGCAAGGAGGCGGAAATGTTGGCAGATCCTGCATCTGCTCTTTGCTTCCTCTTGCACTGTGTTAGCCACAGGCCGCAAGTAATTACTAAAGTTAAGCTTAAAAGCCAGTTTGCGAGCATTGCCAGCCACACTGCTAGTGCTCAGGAACCACGTGTGGTTGGTGGCCTGTGTCGTGGGCATCATGCAGTCTGGTTCCCATCATGGCAGTTCCATTCCACTGGACAGTGCTGGGCTAGAAGAGTGTAGAGGAAATCAAGCGTTGGTTTTAGAAACCTCAAGTTCATACCTTGTATTTTTTTGTTGTTCTTTTGACAAACTCAGCATTTATATCTTGATTCCTTTACTATCAGGTATTATTTGCACCTTTGCTTTTTCAGAAGTCCTGAGTTTACCTAAAAAATATACAAGTTATTTTCAGAGATTTATGACTTACTGTGAGTGAGAACCTGAAAGGTACAGAGTAGAATATATACTTTTCATTGTTGATGTGGACTAAGATTTCCTTATGGACCATAAAACAAGTCACATTGCATTTAAAAGAGTTGATGTCATACAAGTATTTTTTCTAGCCACGATAGAATTAAGTTAAAGATCAGTAACAGAAAGAAATCTAAGAAGTCCTAACATGTTTGAAAATGAACACTTTAAAAGTCTTCCATGACTTGGACAAGAAATCACATGAAAAATTTAAAACTATCTCTAGATACATGAAAATGAAAACACAGCATGTTAAAATCTGTGATGCAGTTAAAACTGTGTTATAGGAAAACATAATTGTTTATATTAAAATGATATTTCTAAAAGCCATAATTTAAGCTTTTGCTTAAAGCTTAATTGCTTAAAAAGATAAAAAAAGAAGAGCAAATTAAATATCAAATAGGTGAAAAGAAAGTAATAGTAAAGATATGAGCAGAAATAAAGAAAATATATAATTTATATATACACATATATAATCATTTTAAATAGGGAGAAGAAAAAAATTAGTAAAATAAAGACCAGAACACTGGTTACCTACAAAATTTGGCAGATTGTAAAAGAATATTGTGAATCAGTTTATGTCAATAAAATTGACAAATCAGATGAACTGGAAGAATTCCTGAATAAAGGCAAATTATTAAACTGACTCAAAGTCTTTCAAAGTACAGGTGATAGAATACTTTCCAAGTCATTGTATGAGACCAGTGTTATCCTAACATCAGTGTTGGTCTGAAACATCACACTGGAAGAACACCACAGACTGGAATCCTTCATGAAATCATGAAAATCCTTAACAAGATATTAACAAATTAGTATTTAACAGCACACATAAAGTATTATATATTATGAGTAAGTAGGGTGGTTTATCCAAGTAAAGTAACATGAAAAGTAACTTAATATACCATATTAATAAAAAATGAAGACCACTTGACAATACATATACTTGAAAATGCAGGAAAAACATTTGATAAAATTCCAACACCAATATATTTTTTAGGAAAAAGGAAAGCTTTTAAAAAATGATACTTTGTCACTCTGGTAAGGAATAGCTATGAAAATATACAGCTAACATCATACTTAGGTGATACTATTTTTATTTTTATTATATTTAGGAAACTTGAAAAGTCACATAGAAAGCTACTATAATTAATTAGCAGACCCAGCAAGGTTACAAGACTCAACACAGTGCACAGAGATCCGTTGAATGTCTGCATACTAGCACCAATCTGAAAAATAAACTGAAAAAGTTATCAAAATAAATCAGATTAGGAATATAATTAATGGAAGAAGTATAAGACTTATATACCTTGAGAAGGACAAAACATTACTGAGACAAATAGAAGAAGATTAAATAAATCACAATATAGTCTTTCTTGACTGGTAGAGTCAATATAGTTAAAATGACAATTCTCCCCGGATGAATCTATATATTAATACAGTTTCCATGAAAATCTCCTTAAGCATCTTTGTTGAGCCAGGTAAGCCAGTGTTAGATCTGGCAATACATTTAACTGAGAATAGCCAAGACTGTTTTGGAAATGAGGGATTTATACGCCGCTTTCCAAGTTTTACCCCACAAAGGTTCATGTGTTGGAAGCTTGGTCCTCAGGGTGGGGATGCTGAGAGGTGTGGGACCTTGATGACATGGGGCCTGGTGGGAGACTGTTACTGGCCCCTTCCCGCTCTCCGACTTCTTCACTCGTACTGTGATTGCCCCTTTTCACACCTACTCCCACCCTTGTGATGCTGTCAGCCATGAACAACATTTGTTCATTTTTTGTGAGTTTATTTTCTATTGAACTTAATGATTTAGTAAGCCTGTTTCTTATAAAAGTGGTACCATTCATAGCAGAGCTCTATAATATCTGCCAAAATAAGTTGGTCTTTTTGACAAAGCATATTCTTGCTTAGCCGAAGTTGAATCAGAGTTATGTTTCTTGTGTGCTGAAGCGGTCCCTGACACCTACACCATCAGAGTTGATGTAGCGTGTTTGTATCTTCACAGTTTGGCTTCAGGGTCATGTTTTCATGACTGGCTTGGGAGTGGAGGCTGAGAGTCACCCCAGGCTTGGCTCTGTGTCCCTGTGTCATGGGTGTGTTCATGTAATGTTTTTGCTTCCAAACCAGTAGCCCACAGCCCTTCCTTTGTGGTGCTTTTGTTGGCAGCCAATTTTATTTTCCCAATTTCTCCATGGGTTTTACTCTTTCATCATTTATGACTTGGAAAAAGACATTAATAATATGTGCCCATAGTATTTGGGTAGTAAAATGATAGTGGTGCATTTAGGAAAATAAGTAATATAAAAGACAATAGCAGTTTTTTTTAAGGATGGCTATAAAACAGATTTGACAAACAAGATTTTACATAAATAAATGCTGACTTGCCGTGGAGTTATTTTTCTAAATTCTTTTCCTAAATAGGTTTATTGGCTGAAATAAATCATTAAAGTCGTATTTTGTTGGTGTTGTGGATTAGTATAATTGTTTCTCTTAATGATGATTAAAGAAAAAAAGTAAAGGTAACACTTTAATCCCAGTAAGTAATGGTCAACTAATTTTTACTTGGAATGCCTGTCTTCCTGTGATCCAGATGTTCACGGGTCAGGATGCACCTGAGAGTTAGGGTAGCTTATCTTACCTTGATTCGAGGTCCTCTTTGTTGTCCCAGTTTCTCAGACACTGGTGAGAATGCTATTCTGCTCTCACTAAACTTCTTTACTTCTCCCTTTCCCCTTTGTGAAATAAATTTTCGCTTGTTTTCTTCAGGGAGCAATTGTATAACCTGCTGAATCACTTTGGAAACTTTGGGGTATGAGTAACAGAAATTCTTACTCAAACTGATCCAATTACCCTGTTACATTGTCCAGCAGGTTCAGAGGGGAGGATGGAGGTGGTTCAGCTAGAGAGGGCTTCAAACACTTTATGGAAAATGCAGATGATGAAAAGCACTATGCATAATTTCAGGTCTTTTTTTTTGCACCAAAATAAATTTACTATCTAATTCAGTTTTTGCACAAACTTTTTGACGTGCCTGTATAGTCTGCTCATGCCACTTGTCTGTGGTTCTCTTAGCTTTGCTTTCTTCTGGGTGAGTGCAGCATTGTAAGGCTGATAGCAAGGCTCAGTGGATTGTGTTTTTGTCTGAGAAGGGAGGAGAGTTTTCCAGAAGTCACCGAGCACCTGCTTCTCAGTTCTCATTGACAGGAAATAAGTCACCTACCTGTTCCTAAATCTACCACCACTAGGCAGTTGGAGGATTGTGGTTGTCTTGGAATAGTTTTTTGGCATGAAGTAAGTGTTGAATAATCCACTAAACTACTGTGTCTTTTATTTATGATAACATCAGAAGTGTCTTCCTTTTCGTGAGTTCTGACATTGATTTTTCTTGTGCCGTTCCATTGGCTCGATCTTCCAGTATAGCTTCATGGTTAAGAGCACAGGTGTTTGTACGAGACTTGTGTTTTCTTCTTGCACTGCCAATGCATAGTTATCATCTTAGAATAAAATATTTAATCCCTCTTGGTGTCAATTTCATCATCCATAACGTACAGGTAATCGTCTTTCCTTTGGTTTCTTAAGATTTATTTGCTTACTTATTTG